ATATCTAAAAAATGACTAAATGATTTGAAAAAGGCTTAATTCTTTTTAATTACCTTTTTAAAAAAAAAATATTTTGTGGAAATGTTTAACTGATTCAATATTCGAAAAACTCAACTTACCTTTAAAATGTATGACAAAAAAAGAAATTAAGTCGTTTTTGAAAAAGAAAATTACAGAAATCATTACATTTTTCTAAAATAACGAAATGTTTTAAAATACTTAATTATTATAAAACCAGCTTATTTAAAAAAAATTGCTTATTTTTTGAAAAGTTACTTGTGTGCAAGACTTTGTTTTACATGCTGCTGCAACAAAAACATGTCCCAATGTGGGTTCAATAGAGAATACCTTATCTTATCCAAAAACTGTCCTTACTTTTCAAAAATAAGATCATCCATTTAAAAAACAGAAAGAAGCAAACATCTGCTTCCGACAAACTTCTTTAAAATTAAATATGCCGACCGGAGGAGATGTTGATGTGATATTTTCTGATGATATGTTTCAGCTGTCCTGTGAGGAACATCCTGCTGAAAGGCTGCTATATGGACATCATGTCTCTGAATATAAAGATTGTTATTACATGTAATAATAACGATGTGTTTCAGCTCTCCTGTGAGGACCAGATCATCCTGCTGAAGGGCGGCTGCATGGAGATCATGTCTCTGCGTGCCGCCGTGCGCTACGACCCGGAGAGCGAGACGCTGACACTGAACGGAGAGATGGCGGTGAAGCGAGAGCAGCTGAAGAACGGAGGGCTGGGCGTGGTGTCGGACGCCATCTTTGATTTGGGCAAAAGCCTGGCTCAGTTCAACCTGGACGACTCGGAGGTGGCGCTGATGCAGACCGTGCTGCTCATGAGCTCAGGTCAGGAAGGAATGAGGTTATACACTGTATATCCTTATGATGAGTTATTATGTTCTGCACGTAGTGTAGGGATGTCAATATGTATGTATGAAACCAAAAGGACGCAAATAGAAAAGAAATCTGAAAAGTCAGAATTTTGAGGAAAACATTTGAATTGTAAGATTTTGAGAAAAAAGTCAGCATTTTGAGATTTTCAGAAAAAAGTCAGAATTTTGAGATTTTCAGAGAAGTCTGAATTCATTAGAAAAAAATTTGAATTATGAGATTTTATAAAAAAATATCAGAATTTTTTGAAAAACCCAGAATTCAAAGCGTGTTTTGAATTCACTCATCCTAACTCGCTTTTCAGATTTTCAGAAAATAGCTAGAATTCTGATCTTTTCTGATAAAAGTCAACATTTTGTGATTTTATGAAAAAGTCAGAATTTTACGAGTTT